CCATAAGACGGAGCAAAGCTTGTACGGGCAATCTCACCAGGATTTCAACTAACAGACCTTTACTCAGACATGGAGATCCTCCCTCCATAACTACTTCTTCTTCTTCTTCTTTTGTTTTCGTTGCCAATTAATTATTAATGGAATTTATCTATGCATGTGTACATAATTCAGGAGACTTGCAGAGCCTTGATATTATATAGACTTAGTTACTAGTATTATAGTCGGTATAGGAAATTAAAATTTTTAGTCTTATTAAAGTCATAGTCGGTATAGGCTTCTTTGTTTTGTCTAATAAACTTGGGAATATAAGAATTTCTCCGTGTCAGGCTATAATACCTAACTGAGCCGTCTCATAAAAGTATAAAACTACTTGTTACAAACAAACTTTAATATATAGTTATTACATTTTAGCATTTTTTTTTTTAGATTTTAATTAAAAATAAAAACGTAATATAATTTTTTTATTGTATAATTAAAGTGTTATATTAATAATAATCATGACAGTACCATCAAAGTAATATATATATATATAATTGATAATATAAATCTTATATATCATATAAATTAATCTTTTTAAGTATATATCATATAAATTAATCTTTTTAAGAGGGTTAATGTATAAATTAACAATAATAGCAATATAACTATATTATAAAATACATGTAGAATATGCATTATTTAATTTAGTACTAGTTGTTCAGGTATACTTTGAATTCAAAATATTGAAATGAATTTACAATTAAAAAAAAAAAGAGAGAGATATGTAATAATGTAGTAGTTATTAATTACCAGTTATCAAAATATCAAAAAGACACAAATTAAATTGCTTTTTTTTTTATGTATAATTAAAGCATATTAATAATAACAATAACAGTACCACCAAAGTTTTATAGATATGAGGTGAGGTTAACACCGACGGGAGTTTCGATCCCTCAACTGGTATGGCTAGCGCCGGTGGGGTGGTGCGAGATAGTCATGAGCGATGGCTTCATGGTTTCTTATGAATGTGGGCTTCTGCTCGATAATAGGCGCGGAGCTTTGGGGACTGTTTCAGGATCTCTCGTTGGTTTGGGATTTGGGTTTCCGTCGTGTGGTAGCTGAGGTGGATAACCAAAACATCATAGGGATGGTTCAAACGGATTACCAGATTGGACCGCATGGAGGGTTTACACGGGGAATAAAAGAGTTGTTGAGCCGTGAATGGGTGGTTTTTCTCCAACACGGCTTTCGGGAAGCCAATAGTGTCGCGGATTATTTGGCTTCACTGGCGGCCAAAGGGCCGAATGGGCTGTTTACACTTGAGCACCCTCCTCCGGGAGCGCATATGTGGTTGCACCAACTCTACCCGGCGATCGGTCATCATTTAGGCGTGCCGCCTCCTTCTTTGTACCAAAAAAAAAAAGTTTTATATATGTGTGTGCGTGTGTGCTCAAATTAGAATGACAAATGATAAAATAAATAAAAATAAATTTGAATCATTGGATCCTTCATATCATAATCATGTAACTTTTAATAACTGCAGTCAAATATGTTGTGGCAATATAATAAGTGAACATATCACGGTGTATAATATGTATTTGTCCACTCATTAGAGGCAAATTAGTTATTGAGGACTGTAAACTCGTTAGAATCACGTCTGGTGGATCGGTCTCCTGTTTAGCATATAAATGATGGGCAAAGGATAACCGAGTTACCCGACTCGGGTCGATCTCGAAGGAAGGCTATTCGGAGCTTCGTCTACTATATGATCGTCCAAATCACAAAAATCGAAAATAAAATCCTAAACATTCTAAGCAATTGATTGGGGGTTTGATTATCACTAGACGAGCACTTAAAACGAGCAATTAATTAAAAACAAGATGAGTAGACGAGCAATTCGCAATCTAGATCACCGGAGTCTCAAGCCATAACCAATACGGGATGATAATCAATCGACATACGGAATAAACGAGCTACGAGCATTAGATTGCTAACCCTAGTCGTCTAACCGAGATCAACAAGTAATTAACGGCTCTATCTACTCAAGCAAGCAGTCAAGTTCAAGCATTTCCACCATCATCAATCAAATCCAATTTACTCTAATGAAAATTATAAGTAAAACCGGGGCAAAAACGAAGTAAAGAGCTTTAAAATTAAATACTCAATCCTCCATTGCGTAGACGATGAAAAACGGTGTCAAAAGCTCGAAACTTGAACGAAACCGAAGTCGCCGGAAAATCTCCCGGAAAATAGCATGAACTCCTAATCTAGAGAGCAAAATAAAATAAAAGCTGATTTCCCAA